TCGTTGTCCATGCTGATCCCACGACATTGAAACGTATCTCGCATCATCGAAACGCACTGTAATACGGTGAACCCCGGTTACTTTAGGTAACACTAAACTCCATGGATGAGATGGATGCCGTTCTGCTATCTGTGAATCAACTCCGCAACACCTAAAATCGAGGGCGCATTCTGCCTAAAATCCTATGGAAAGAACGTCAAGCGAACCCAACTAACAAAGAGTGGAAGAGAGAAAGTAAAGATAAGAAAACGTTGATGGCTCACGGTGATCCCGAGCTTACCGATTCCTCTTCTGACGATGTGCAGGTACACGACCGGGAGCCATGGCACTACATGCATGAAGCAGTTTCATCTGAAAATGTCGTGGGCACCTAGTTGAAACAATCTCCTTATCACCGAACTACAAAGTCTGCGGTTCCATGCTGTTGGAATTGGTGTTGCAATCAGAACTATCGGCATAAAATCTTCTGGAGAACTGGACTTAATTCCGTAGCAGGTTGCCAACAGCAGTTGGTTAGAAAGCAGCAGGAACACAACTACCATCTAATTACAACCAAGTGAGAACGCAATTGTGACAATCGTGTCCCGGACGGTTTCAACAGTAGCCATTACACTCAAAGGGACAAAGCTGTGCGCAAGCGACCAATGGGATCTGGGGCACCTGATACTTGAAGGTATACCAACTTCTTCTTGAAAATCTGCAACCGATCCAATGACGACTAGCCGCCGGTCGGCGCAAACTTACTTACTTCATCCATTCGACCCAACACACTCTGGGTCTCCGAGAAGCTTTCATGCATATAGACGAACGCCCAAGTTTCATTCAGCAAAGTAACTGAAGTAAGACTTCGACGCACGCCAGCAGCTTGGGACCTCATTTCTATCACGGAATCATGGTTGCGCAGTGAGCTAACGGATGACGAACTCGCGGCTAATTGATATTTCCGTTGTCCCGAATGATCAGGCCACCAAAATGGGTAGCGTACCCCTTTACTTTCGTAACAACCTTCAGTGCGTACCCATACACGGCGCAGAAACGGATTTACGTAACTCAGTCTGATGCAGCTTCCGGCTGAGGGGGAACGATCTTGGCCTATAAGTGGCTGTTTGACATCCACTACTATCTCACCTGAGATGGACTGACACTCGGTGGCTGTGTTGAAATAGGTGATAAACAGGAAGTACAGTCACATTCTCATCGCCGGCGATTTTACCTTACGTGCTTTAGTATCCCAGGCCACACTGGGAGAGCAATTCACAGCAGACCTGCAATATCTGGTCTCAGACTTTCCGCTTTATGGCCATGTCAATTTGCCCCATCAGATTTAGTGGCAATAACAGGCCATCCATATAGGACCGAATATTCATTAATGAAGGACTGATGATCGAGAGAGTAGAACTCGATACTTCTCTAAACCGTAGTGAACAGCTGGCATTGCATTCTATGTGCAGTTGCTATGCTGCATAACTCGGGGCAGAACTCAAACGACGCGAAATAAAACTAGCTACGATATCTGAACCCGACTAGTTGAAGCAAACTAAAGAGTTTCCAAACCTAGGAGGCACCAGATATTGCCTGGGAACGTTTAGTTAATAGGCATAACACCTTGGTTAGTGGAGTATCGGAAATCAAGACTATGCTTTGGAGAAATGTGGCGTCATTCATACGGAGTAAGACGCGCGAATACATAGTGATGCGCAACGCAATGCAATGTACCCACTGAGACCGATCCGACTCCGAGTATCTGGAAGGCTTATGTTATCCACCGCAAGCACTGTACCCAACTAGTGCGCGAGAACAAAGTAGCTTATCAACATGCTTTAGCCAAGCGATTAACTTTTAAACCTAAGCTTCTGTGCAAGTACGTGAATAGCTTGGCTTTGCAGTCTTTATTGGCCTACATCTCGTGCTGTCCAGAAATAGACGCCATAATAGAAAAATCCCAATTTCAACCATACATTTCATGGTTTTCGGCACGCAGCTACTAGGATATTCCTCACTTGACTGTTTGAGTAAGTTTTGGCGACCTCTTTGGTTGTGGCATAGAGACTTTGTAGTGTCAACAATCATGCAGTACAACAGCAATGCGACTAATAGCAAAAGCAATGATGATTAGAAGCGTTGTTTAAGCTTATTATTTCCCTACAGGGAAATCATTTCACCTTACTTCACATTCCACTTACATTTACTGCATACCTACTAAAATTTGTTCCGTGCGCTTATATAATGCAAGCGCCAAAGCACCTTCAAGTCTATTTATACTGTTCGTGGTAGTAGCTGGCATTCTACGCGAGGAAAACGGATGCGCTCAATGGACTGGAACGTCAATCAGCGTCAACAACGCTAGTAGACCATGCTTAAACAGACCGAGCAATTTGCGAGGAATTAGTTTTATTGTCCTTAATCAAGCACGGTCTCGGTCTTTGACAAAGGCAAACGAGTAAACCGCTCGCTACACTGACTTTCAGATGACGTCGGACGGCTTGACGGTCGGTGTTGTTTAGAGCGATTTGAACGGATGGAGTCAACAAGCGGATAAGCAATCAGCTTGGCCAGCGCAAGCTCACAAATATTGCACCAGTGTTATAAACAGCGCAAAGTGGGACTTGAACGAAGCAATTCCTCGCGTACAAGCTCCCAATTCAGCGACTTTGAGGCATTGCATGCAAAGGAACTTATGTTTAATTTTCCATCTTTAAGCGGGGATGAGGTTAGAGAAAACACTTATGTCAGACAGACTGAGAGATAGTACATGATAACCGATCGATTTCCAGCAAGCAGGTTTGCATGTCAATTAGGATCCTTCAGCCCACTACACGGGACGTGAGAATTGATTGGTTTCGAGCAAGTGTGTGTGAGCGTGAGTGAACTGACAAGTGTTTCAGAAAAATTTGCTTGGAACTTGTGCGGTTGAAGGCTTACAAGCAGCGTCACTTCTGTCTTGTTACTGTTACAACTAACATACAATATACAGGATTCGACCTAACACAAATTTGATGGGTTTGTATCCTGGAATCAATCAAGTTAAAAGGTCGGCTTTTGCGGGTGCTTCTTTTCCTCTAAGGAGTCTACGAACATATAGCTTACTGTTGAACTGGTCTTCTCAAGCTTTATTCAACTCTGGTTTCCTTTTATCCTACCCATTTCTCATGGTCCCCAACCTCGAACACCACAATTTCAGCAATCCGCAACGAGGAACCTAGGAAAATCCGGTATTTTCAGTGGTCGTATTGGTACCTTATTTGAGGTCTAGGTTTTTAATTTCGATATATCCGAGGATTGCAGAAAGGCATTTCTGACAGTTGTTCCTGTTCAAAGTATTTGCTTCAAATATATTGATCAGGAGGCATAATTGATGCAGAAAACAAACCACGGTATTTTATCGACGCGATCTCAATCTATATCAACAAAGTGCTCGTCAGCGCCGACCAGTAGCTATACTTTTACATGTTGAACGTGTGAGGATTTTATATCTCATCGTTTCACGACCTTGGCGTTTTTCTCTTTGCATGATAATGTACGGGTCTGTTAGGCTGCAGTCTAACCAACAAACAGTCTACGATCAGCGGTATATCCCAGCGCAAGGTGCTAAGGACTACTTTGTGTTTTATCCACATTTGGGATTCACCTCGGCTTCACCGGTCGTCTTGTTCTTTATTCGCCGAGGACCACAAGACGTGTAGCGTGAATGAGACCCCGATGACACTAATCTACTTCAGTAACACCTCACCCTACTCCTCATATTGCCTTCGGAAGTCCCCATCCCTGTCAACCCAGGCAAGTCGGAATCTATGGGACAGTGCAAAGGGGGTGACAACCAGGTTTACGTCTGCGATGGTCAAGGGACACTACTAGCATTTTGGTAAATAAACCGGGGTGCATGCTCACCATGTGACTTAAAATCTTAGGATGACACGAATAGACTACATCAAAATGGGCTGCTCATATTTTACGCGATCGAACGGCGCTTTCATTTCCGATCTGACAAGTTTGCAAATCACCTGTATGTTTTCATCATAAGACCATTGCTAGAATACGGTTAGCCAGCCGATCGTCCAGTAATTTATTTCGTGGACCGAAGTGGTGGCTACCACGCTTTTTCCAATTTAGGGGCTCGCTGTACTAAGACACGTGTGAGAGAATAGGACTGTCCTATCTTCGGGTGTGAGTACACTTTCCCCTTGCTGTGGTACATGTTTCAACAGCGGACACCCTGTAATAGACGCAAACACAGGGAAAAGTTTGTGCTGCTGGAGATGAATCGAGTTTTCTGCGTGCCGTTTGCTTGGAACTACCTGTGTTAAGTGTTTAAACCAGGCTATCAGAGTAGATGGTAGAGTCAAACTCTGCACAACAGTTCACGCCATTGCTTAACTTTATTTCTCAACTCTTCTGCCCAGAGAATAATTGTTGTCTAGCAAAGACATATCATGTTTGCGTAACCAGAATTGCTGATATACGATATTTGCACTGTTATCTGAAATGATTCGATTAATGGCATGCAACAGTATTTGTTGATTATATCGACAAATTTATATAGGTCTAATGTCCTACATGTTCCCATGACATAAGATTAGGTGTTTGCTATTTACTATAAAAGACATCGCATACAGCGCATTCAGAACAAAACATTGAAAAGTTATTGGTAAAACGGCCGTCTAAATTAAGGATGGAAATAGTCTATATTTTGCGTCTACCAATGTTGAGACCCTTGCAAACTCAGCTATCTCCCCTATATTGTTAGCTTTCTTTAAAAGCGATGAGACATCCTTGTTACTCACCTGCACCTTGGTATTATTGCTAGAACAATATTTCTTACTGAAACTTGAAAATCAGTTTAAGAGTCAGTATTTTGTCCCAAATAAACGCAACTAAAGACAACACGCGCAATCGTTGGGTGCTCCCATTGAATCATTAATTTCCTACTCTCCCCAGTGATCGGTGCGGTTTAAGTATTCGCATCTCATATATCCCGTTCCGCAGCTTTAAGTGCACCAGTTGATGGCATGTGTAACTTTTTGATCTTAACCTCTAACTCACAAAGTTTGTTAAACAATGGAAATTGTGGAAGCAAAACTGTTGGTAAGAATGCTCTTTTTGGTACATCGATTCAAGCAACCGCATGTACATAACTAATGTTAAATTTAACAGCTTTGTGAAATTTGCAGTTGGCTGATTACCTCACGAATTTGAATTAGGTGCAAAATTACCCACGTGTCAGGAAGTTCTGTTGTCAATCCGATCATGAACTGATTGAATGAACGCTAGAGAACAGCTGCTGGCGTACCAGAATCAGTCATTTACGTTAGCGTGCAGCTGCATCCAAACGAATCACCTCACCATTCAGCATGTGGTTTTGAATCACGGCTTCAACCAGATGTGCAAACTCCTCCGGCTTGCCAACCCGTCGGGGATTGCGTGGGGACGGACACGAATTGGTCTCAGCAGATGCACTGGTAAGCATAGGGGTGTTGAACACGCCTGTATGTCCGAGAGAGAATGTTTCAGAAGAGGTAACTTCAACAATACCTTTTGTGTGAAAATCTACCCGTGAGTTTAAAACTATCAATTATTGAAAATGTTCAATCTTACAATGGTGCCCAAATCGCGACTGCAGCCAAATGACTGAAATTTCCTACGTCGACAAAGGTGATTTTCAGTTGAGCGTCGATCGTTTACATCTATTTAATTAGGCAGAATTGTTAACGAGGTAGACAAGTTCTTTCGGTTCGTTCAAACTCTAATTTGTAGAAACATAGTTGTAGTTTAGCCGCAGTGAATTAACACGTGGGATTGAATTATTTAAACCTAAGGGAACATACGTATTAAATATCCGACAATTGTGTTTCTTTACGTAATCTCCTGCATTTTGTACTGACTGGCAAATTAAAAATATGTCAAGAAAATCATGAAACCATGTACACCATCAAACTAGTGTCCTTTTCACTTGCACTAATTAGGATAGCTTTTAGCATACATCCTCTCCTAACATACCCTAGGAGCAAGTATTCCGGTTGAAAATAGTACATATGAGCGGAACTGAGGCTGCACGCGTGTACTTTGACCCGTGAACTATAAGCTCAACAAAGCAGGAATAATTAGCACACCATATGTATTGTGATGCCTTAAATTCGTCTAACTGATATCATTTGTACTCTTAACATTTGCTTGGAACCAATCAAGAAGTATTTATTTCGGGGAGATTTGCGAGTATTAGTTTGATGATTGCTCTTGGAGGACGTTTTGAAGCACTGTGTGTGAATGAACGGCGAAAGAAATCTCAATATCGACCGCCATTCATACTGTAATGAAGGGCAGGCAATCCGATCACTAGGATCGTAGCCGAGGCGTATGGAATATGCGTTTTACCAACTAGATAACACTGAATTACCCTTCACCTTTTGAATTTGATTGACCTCCTCATGTAGGGATAGCAGGCTTTGGATCACGGACCTCTACTCATTTATGCACCGGGTCACGACGGGAAAAGTTTCCTGAATGGTGTGCCATTTTAATGCAGTCATCGTATGCGTAAACTGCATGGCACAGTCTCAATATGGACAGCGAATCCCTTTAAAATGAACCTTGGTTAATTTGAACACTGGAACCGAAACTGAAGATGCAGATGGAAAGTGAGTGTTGCTTGTTCGAAACGACTAAACACCAAAACCAATGAGGAATCTATTCGATCACGGCACTCAGAGATAGCAGGGCTCGAACCCGGAGCCTTTGGGATGTTATCTGACAATTCTAATCCGAAGCGACCGTGACACGGCGAACGACGCTTGTCGTAACCTTTAGTGACGGATTGAAAAGATCTTCTGGGAGTCCACGTTTTGTGAGTGACTAGTACACTCTGTCAAAATACTTTTAACACTACCTTCTGCGACTATGTATCCTCAGAGTAGTACGCACGACTGAAGGTTATGTGGACCGTGGTTCGAGAGTCGCTATCTCTACCTGATAACTTGCAACTGGCTCGAAACCCGTGATGACTGGCAGGCAATTTTGACCAGCACACCTAAATGCAATTTGACTAGACTGTTGGTTTGTCCATGTAACATTTGTGACGCAAATTCTTTATCAGTCTAGCTGAATTTTCTGTTGCTGGCGTAGGAGTAAACATAGAGCGATGGATTAAGCAAGGATGGCGCTAACTACTACATAAGTCAATGAACTTTGCCGACTTAGGTGTAGGAGTCATCTTAAGTGCTTCAACCAGCTTGGGATGGGTTTGTGATTTTACCATCTGGCGCATCGACAATTAGTTTTATTAACCTTGATTGCATGGTCTCTGATAGATAAGCTGACGGCCTATCGACACCCACCAAACTGGCCGGATATAAATGACTCACCATGTAGTCGTGAGAACCCCCTACCCGATTGTTTCACACAAATCTCGTTCCTGGTTATTTCCATTCTTAGGACAATCAGCCACCATTGTGCCCATTTCCGTTGGGCACATCGTTAGTGCCCTGAGGAACAACACTTGCTATCCCCGGTTCTTACTTGTTAGATACCTTAGTAAAAGCGAGATTATACAGGTACACACCCTTAGTTCTCCCGGCGAGTCGGTGAGCTGTGCTATGTTTTGGAAAAACACGTACGACCTTTACAGTATGGTAATCGTATTTTCTGTTAGGGCCTGCAACATTGATGCATACTAATCTGCGACTTCGTCAATTGCATTGTCTATGTCGATGAAGTTACGCCGCATGTTAACAGTAGGCCTGCGTATTTTTACGACCCATGAAACTTCGGGGGTACAGTCGCTTTTGGGGCGAGATCAAAACGTTCTTGTTCCCTGGGATTGTCTAACACTGCTCTAAAATATTTATCCGTTTTCTTGTCATTAATCGCCTTCTTGACGGTTTCATTCTTATTTAACCTATACACCCCTGTCTCAACACTTTGTAATGACTTATAAACCGTTGTCGCAAAGTCATCAGAATGCGTTTACATAACAGTGGCTGTCAAATCCACTCTGCGCCGATGCGAATCCCAATCAAACTTCCTAGTTTTAAATGCGTTTGTTGTTTCAAAAACGTTTGGACATATCGAGCAACATCCCTGCGAATTTAAAAGTAGTACTTGGTTTCCGTATGAGGGATTGTGTCAGTATCTCATTCTTTAGACATTCTAGCATACAACTGCATCGCTTTTCTGAGTTACGATTACGCGTATCCAACCAAACAGATTCTCTTGCCACTTTCCGAATGCGAGATCCGTATTGGAAATAGAATTAAACGCCATTTCATCTGGTCTGAAAAAGCCTAGCATTTACAAAGAACTGTTGGTACATAGCTGCATCAACCAAAGTTTCCAAGGTCCCCGTACTCACGCTATTAGTCGCTTTACATCTGGGATATTATTTCATAACTTCTTTCAGCTGTTTCAGGGTGGCCGAAGTGATATTTTTGACGTAAAGAGGGAGAGGTAAAACCATGTAACAATCATTGTAAAGCTTTAGGCCATAATCTACTGCTAAATATAGACGAATCAATAGCGTTTAATGACCACTCGCGTAAGAAGTAGCATGAGACATTAAACTTTCGCCAAGGGTAATAAGTGTTAATTGCACTTATTCATCGATTGCTTTAGCTCCGATTTGAGCTTGTTAATTCTGTTTAATTGCGCTTCCAGTATCTTCTTGAATAAGCTTATGTTTTTTATCTTTTAGGTGACTTTGATTAATGTAGTTAACCACATACATCCTAGGGACTGTCACTCAGATGGTTTCGCTTGGCAGGTTGTGGGCTACAAGCTCATTAAGGATTCATACTTAAGTATTTGACATTTGTTATTAGAGGAATGCTGTAAGAGTCTACGTGTGAACATGAGTTATACGGTCACTACTGGTGCGCAAGTCCAATTCCCTCCTTCTGTCCTCGTGGATATCTGGCTGCACCCCAGAGGCGCATCGTTAGTTCTATGAATCGCGTAACAATTAAGAATCTAGAAACAGATCCCACGCACATGAAATAACCCCAATCTTATACCGAATGGTAGATGTATTTCTAATGCAGGTTGCACCAGCTTCTACCTGTAATTCTGAGGGTGTCTACTTCCGCAAACTGTAGACGGATAGAGAACTGAAAGACATGTGTAAATACAAGTTCGTCGAAAGATAAACATCCTAAGATTTCGGCATCTACTGGTTATTTACTGGTAAGATGGATAAAGTTGAGTGGGTTCGCTAATCCCAGATTTCCACCAGAAAAGCAACCTCGTGTTATAATGGAGTAAAATAAGCTCCAACACAGTGGGAGATGAAACATACCTGGTGCTATAGTTACCACGCGGATGCCCAAGTCAGCCAAATCGCGTGCGATTGGAAGTGTCATTCCTATTACAGCAGCCTTGCTAGCCGCATACGCCGCAGATTTTTCCGTCCCCTCAATACCTGAAATGCTAGCTGTGTTTATAATGACACCGCGCTGGTTGTCTTCATCTGGTTGGTTCTCTGCCATTGCTGCGGCAGCCAGTCGAATCATGTTGAATGTCCCGGTGGTATTGACCTGAAATGAGAAGGGCTAGCTCAATTGACACTGGTGTAAACGAAGGTGATTGAAAATCTGATAATAGTAAGAAGAAAAATAATAATAACAATACTTATTTCTCTTGATGCGAGAAACTATATCTGTAGTGGCACAGATCAATTTGTACAGAAGTATTCATGCTACTGCATGGGTGACATGCACAGGTGGAATATTTGCTTATGCGTTTCATGTATTAACGTTGGTGGATGGTTGGGGACAAATCCTGTATTTGAAAGCATTGATGTTTAGTGATATTTGAGCCCCTTTTGGAATAGCTCCTCGAGTGAGTTTTCCCATGATAATATTATGATGGCTAGATCAAAGCAACTGGCGAGTCTGCTTCTAAATGCGGCCACATTATCACATGACCTGAGTGTTATCGGTACCTTATTCCACAGCAAGCTATATCTGAACAGGAAGAAATTAGAGCGCACTTTCTTTCTAGACTTGGGTATATTCAGCGTAAACTTTTGTTGCTAAGCGCTCGAGTTGAGCAATGTAATTCGAATGCAGGCAGGTCGGAATAGGTCTTTTTGTGTAGCACGTTGAGAAGCGGCGTCAACTTATGCTCCAATCGTCGAATCCAAAGTGATTCGAGTTGAACTTCATTGCAGCTTTCTCGGTAACTCATAGCCGAGTGTTTAACAATCAGATGTTTATTAATTGACCTCCGCAGGTGCTCCACAGCATTCTGTCAATCTTTCTCATATTGCCGTATATTGCCTTGCAGTATTCGAGGATGGGTTGAGCAAGTAGTTTGTAAAGCTCAACTCTAGCAAGAGTTGTGTGGATTTTGCTGGATATATTGAACACGTATAGTCTAGCCAGTGTTGACGTAATGATGGGCTATTTGGAAAACGTAGGCAATGCCTTATTAGGATGGGTTGGTAATTTTCTCCGTGAACAGCAGTTATATGCAGGAGACCGAACATCTCTGCCCGACTCTAATCCGGTGGAGTGCGACGATCTTGCGAGAACCATCACCTCAAAAATTTTACGTTTCCAGATGACGTTAAAATTTGGCCGGGGATCAAGAGAATGGACGACCACAAGCGCTTCCCGGTGCGACCTAGATGGGACCTGGCATTGACCGGTGAGGAATGCATTGCCATTAAATGTAGTCAAGTGACATATTATCAAAATCCGCCATAGACATACCTATCTCTAGAATATTGTGGCATATGACCTGCAGACAAACCCTCAGGAACTTGACCTCGGTGTGCTGGTGCACGACGACTTCGGTTATTCCAGGCAGCCGGAATCCAAATGTGGTAACCAGCACGTTGTTAGCTCGCGGATGGCATCCGAAATTTTGGATGCTTTCAGATTCTCTATGATGCTCTACGTCTACGTGCGTTAAAACGTGGAATACGTAATCCAGGTTTGGAACGCTTGACGAAACCGTGACCTTGCAGCGCTTGAAACTCATTATGGTCGAGCAGCGACTAACTACACTCAGAGTGTTCAGTAGACACTACAGGTGGCCTCGCGGTGATCTCATATTCTTCTACCAGATACGGAACGACCCCATGTACACATGTTGCCACCTGCTGCAACTTATCCCGAACACCAACTTCCCAGGCAATAACCTGAAACTGAGTCAACAACATAGTCGGCTTTTCATTAAGGCTGGACGAACCTCAGCACATAGCGACTCAGTGATTTTGCCATAAGTAGCCATTGAAGGTTTCGGTGTCTACGCTGGTTATGTGCTCAACGACAGCCTGGAGGTTAAGAATTCTATCCGCCCGGACGCATCATTATCATCATTTGCCAGCGAACCAGTTTAGTCGTTAGGCCATTTGTGAAAGAGGATAAGTATATTGACATAAATGTCTTGGAACGATCATCTATGCTAGTGAAGGATACATTCAAAATGTCCTCCGGCATCCTGCTTACAGCGCAGAAACCGCTTTATGCAATTAGCGAGCACTTTCTTTAATCTATTCCTCGTGATGACTCGACTTTCGTTCACCATATTTGCTTTCAGTTGATCCAATGTACGCGGCCTTATTTGGTACACTCTTCGATTCAGTTAGCCTCATAGAAAATGTTCATGGGGTCCAAATCTGAGGAGCGAGCATGCCACTCCATTGATCCACCGCGTCCGATCCAATGGCGGCCAACTTTGTCGGTGAGGTAAGCACGCACCGTTTTAGCAAAATGTGCAGGTGCACCATCCTGCTGCCACCAAATGGGGTTGCATGCCACTTCAGCTTCCAACTGGCCAAGCACAAATGTCTGCAGCATTTCCAAATACGACGATGCTAGGAAAAGATAAGACTTTAGTACTTCAAAACAACAACCTACCGTCACATTCCCGGAAAAGAAATATGGGCCCAAGATTTTGTGGTTTGTTAATCCGGCCCAAACCATCAGTTTAACACTGTGGTGCATACGTGATGCGGTAAATTTGCTTGGGTTGCTGGTAACCCAACAGTAATGTTTCATCGTTTCATGCAGATGGAACAATGCCTTATCTGTAAAGATAACAGAACGAATACCCCCGTGATCCGGGAAACAGCAGCAAAACTCATGACGCTTCTCCGGATCGCATGGGTTCAAAACCTGCACTGGAAGTGCACGGAATCTCTGAAATTTTTGTTCCAGTAATATCCGGGTTACCGCATATCGCGTTGTGTCACCGTGCTGTGCGATCCGACGAAGGCTGAGATCGGGACTTTTTGACACTTCACTGACTACAGCGCAAGCTTAACAGTCGTCATTTGTGAGGCGAGGCGGTCCGGTTCTCTTCATGTCACACGCTCAGATTGCTCGAACTTCTTCACTAGTTTAAGCACATACCGGGCGTTGACTGGACGCATTCCTGCCTTCATTGGATTGTATTTTCTTGAAGCAGATGCGGCGTTTATACTGCATTCATCGTACCGCCGAGTAATCAGCGAGCGCTGAGTAACAGGAACGTTACGTGATCCGTACTGCATTGTGTGCTGGTGCTCCACTACCTGTGATGCAATAACATTGAAACGAGTTGCAATATCTAACCTCGTCCTCAGCTGAGCTACCATCACGTGCGCATTTGCACTTCGCAGTTTCACCGCTACTTCGCCGCGTAGCCAGCGAGACACACAGAGATAACCATCGATCACTCCAACATCTACGGTTGGCCATGACCTTCACTCAGCGCGAAGTTAGCTGACAGCAGGAAAAACGTTGAAGCTCCCTCGCTGATCAACAGACTCATGTTAGTTTGTCTGTTTAGGGGTTATGCTTTTTCTCAGCAGAGTCCTGCACTAAATCACTCGAATACCGAGAATTCCATACATCCGCACAACAAAGTTGAGAGAGAAATTCATGTCTCTGCATGCGCAGTAGCATGTTGCGAACCTCGTTAAACGTGGGATGGCTATTGGATGTTGGGGAGAACCATCGTAACTTATCGGCCTAGACCATCATGTAGTCACGGTAGGTAAATGAACGCTGATCGGCCCTCTTCCTTCAGACTAACCGTACATACCTGGTCGTTTCGTGTCATCAAGTCAGAGCGCGTTAGTCGTTTCGGCCCATCTACCGCCTATCCAGTGACACACATGAGCGTTTAGATGTCGTCTTCTGTCAGCGGCCGAGGCGGTAGTCATAACGCTTCATGACCCTGACCTATTCGCTCGGAAGTGTTTTGTCCAGCCACTACCTCTGCCCTGGTCCCATGCATCGCAGATACAGTGTGAGCAACGGCACACACACACAAGCCAACTGTTGATCGCCGTGGGGCCAATCGCCTAGCTTGGTCACTCAGACCATTTGTGTTGTTAACTTGTACCCTTAGCTGTTGTTTACGTTCATGTCCTTCATTTGTGGTGTATTAGCCTGACGAGGAACCAAGGAAAACGTGCTTGTTCGCTAACATTTGCTCTGATGTGTACTACAGGGATTTATATTCAGAGTTAGATATATCTTAGTCGTGAAAGCTGGAAGCACTCAAATTCAGTTATGGAGTTGTTGATGCCCCCTGGATTGTTATTGAAACTTTTTCAAGCAATTTACCAAGCTCGTCGAAACACTAAGAAAATAGTGCCTCAATCCGAGCTACCGTTATTCTAACCCTTTGTGGTTTATGGTTATGGTTGTTTCGATTCCCGGCTAAACATAGCATTACACTGCGCTTATCCCGTTTCTGAAACCGGGTCAATTACTGCGAACCACTGTTTTCTTGTATGGTATTAGGGTCAGCAAACCAAAACAGATAGGTTCCCTATCAGCGTTTCGTCTATGAATTGCATCCAAATTGATTCAAGTCTTCCCAGATGTATTGCTGCTTCGTTATAATTAGTGGAGTCATAGCCTAAACAAGTTCCTTGGATCGCTCGGCGATTTGGCTGTAATTGCCAACAGGTACAAGAGCAGCAAAGTTTGGAGGGCACCGGCATATATCAGTGGAATGAAGCACGCTTGTAACGTGGCAAGTGTTGCGCAACAATATACCATTCGATCACTGCCTATAACGAGGATCCATTGGTTTCAGGTGGGAAATTCCAAAGAAAACCGCGAGAGATAAAAGTGTATGAATCAGAATATACTTGCCGATCCGTACTGCTTAAAGTCGAGCCTGAAAACGAAAGATCGTCAAGGAATCAGAGGAAATAATAGTGGGAGTTTGTGCATTCACCCAGGAGTTTCACCAAAAGACTATTGACTTATGACATCACATGAGTTGGCATAACTTCGCATTCGAAGACTATACTGTCGCCTGAACTCTTGGGATTCGAGTCTTGCAATTGATTAAACACCAAAGCCCTAGGTCATCTCACAGACCAACGGCGATTTGAGTTACTTAATACCACATTAAAATGACTACCTAGACATGACCGATTGCGGCGGTCACAGATGCCGTGAAGGCTGTACCTGTCGTCCATCACCTGCCTAACGATTAACAAAAGGCAAGAAATTGCTATTTCATTACTGTGACTCAAGCCCCACTCAGAGTAATAAAGTAAAAACCAAGGTCTGCGATTCTTTTTGCATTTACCTTGACCTAAATTGTTAAGCTCTGCTTAATAACAATCATACACTAAAAAGTGAATGGTTAATCTAGTACACATCACTACGAATATGCCGCTTTCCATTCCATATCTGAAAAGAAAGTAACTCGAGTGTCATACACCTCGTTCTCTTATGACAAAACTTTCGGTCAATGTAATGGTGGGAGTGAGACTTTTCATTTATAATGAGCAAGTAGCATGCTGCTTTGGCAGAATTGTTGTGCAGAAAACTCCAAGTGAGAAACCAAGTTAGTCTGAACCATCCCACATGACGACATCACTCCTATCAGTATATTGGACAATTTAAGTGGTTTTAGTTACCTATGCATTCTTCCAATATCAGCTGCTGCAATTTCTTTCTTTAGGTACATAATTAAAGTATCAAGCTGCCAGAAGTCAAGATCCAGCACTCAAGCAAGTCAATATCTGCGGCGTAAGACATGGGACAACAGGATATAGAATACGATGACCTTACAATAACACTCCAAGCGTCTCTAATTTGGATACTAAGTGTATTTCACTACAGTAGTTCACTCAGTAGATGCACAATGAGAAATAACGGTGGAAGTCAGCAAAAACAACTTAAATATACCAAAGCCGCAAACACCTTTATGCATACTGATAATTTGTGCTCGGACAGTCCGCCAACACCCTCCGCCACCACTTCCATCCTGTCTTTCGTAGTGTTTTGTTGTAAATCCTTCTCCAGCTGATCACAACCTCGTCGATGCGTATTGACACATCTTATAATCGAGAGAGTGCAAAAGTTGCTTATGCATTTATCTAAACACTACTGTTCTGGAACAGGCAATCTTCATCTAATGCGCCGAGTAACTAAACACAGCTGAATAAATGCCATCTCAATTTCTCTTAGATATATTTCGGAGAGTTACAAGCTTTTGTTCTATGATGCAAACATATTCCACTGCTACTTACAACGACAGGTAGCTTCGCTGACTCCGTAACTACTGAAGACATAGATGTACATTTGGTGATTCCAAATATTTTAGGCTTGCATATCGAAAGCTGTTATGGTTTGTCTGTTGAGATAGCAGATAGAAGAACCAACCACGCCAACTGGCAATTCAATGTTTAGAGATTTGCAATTCCATTGTGTTGCGCAGCATGGATTTCGCAGAACCAATCTTGTGCCACCAAACTAACTGTTGTCAGCTCTAGTTACATGTAAACCATCAACGCCAGGTCCGGAGTCGTGTACCTCTGTGTGACATACCAATAGTGTCTAATTGCTTAGCTCAACATATTCTGCGTTTTAAAGAATATCAAACGTGGAATCAATGATCTACTTCCTGCCTGAAATGATGCCCTTCTTTGCTTCCTAGTGGTGAACTCCACGTCTAATATCTTTTAGAATTCCCTGCAACTTGGTTTGCGGATGTAGGTTTTCTGTGTTCTCTAGTCTAAGTGCTTAGCAAGAAATTGATGTTCACACTGCACTGTAGGACATAGGGTTTATTTATGAGATCCCGGAAAACGTTCTATTGTCATGAAACAAATTTTGAGACTTTAGGCAAACGCTACCCGAATGCCTAAGGCACTTACTTGGCAACAAGGTCCGCTCACTATAACAAAGGACTTCGCGCGCTGGATGACTTGGATACTCGGAATAATCATCAAACTATCGAAAAATATTGTTTCAAAACTTCGTCCGAGTGCGAGTAGTATTCGGTCAAGTAAGTCCTTCCATTTTTCTTCGCCGTATTTTTACTGATAGCACCACAGTGGATAGGCTGTGAAGGTTTGGCTGAGGAACGATCTCATCTACATGGAACTACTTCCTCAGACCTCCAGTGAAATGTTCCCGTGGGTTGGTTACCCTCAACACGGCAAAAAGCTAAACCTTTAAGAGAATTTTGCAGACTGATGACTGATGTGATCGTGCACAAAACTAGTATGTTAAACAAACCAGCGTCATGCTTGCGATCGCCTGATATACCAACCATAACCGTTTTCTGAAAGGAAGCAACCGTAAACCGACGGACTGGAGGTGCGGCTCCTATTTTCTTTACGCCTACCGTGGAACAGAAAGTTGTAACAGCAGTGTACGCTCCGAATCACACTGCCTTCAGAAAACACCCTGTAAAGTCTGAATGGAAATGTACCTTTCTACACGCTTTTTCATTTGAATACTTGGTGTCCATTTTCCCAAAACCTATCATTTTCCCTTTTACAATTCCACGCATTTTCTTCATAACAGTGTGCCCCTTCATTTATTTGGGGTTTTGCTCGTGATCTTTCAGTATATCGCTGAATTGACAACAGCGAAGCACATAATTTCGATGGACTGCCGATGGTTTACTTTTTCTACTGTGAAACTTTTAGGCCTTACAGAATGTACACCTTCTGACTACTACTGGTGATTTATCCACTACTCTTGACAATTTAGCAGGAAGTTGCCTTCATTTATTCGGCACACACCGTGCGCGAATTCTAGGTTGTCAAATGCAGTTTTGTTTTTCCGCTTCGTACGACATTCAGAGTAGGCCTTCAGCGCTTCACTTCACTTTCCATGGCATGATCAAATACACATTGGTTTACCAAGTGTCCAAGCTTGAACGACTATTTCTAGTATGGCTAACTTTGGTTTGGACTTTGAGTGGGAAGCAATGCCTAAAAATGTGTCCCAAGTTGTCAGCTTGAGGACAATTGAGACATGTCATAATTTTATACATCGCTGCTCAAATTTACTTTGAAATACAAGGCTCAGGTATGGAGAAAATTTTACATTGCACATTGTGAAAGCTTTCTGGTAAATGTCGGTAGGCGATGCTCACAATCTGGGCTAACTGGTTGAACAACGTTCAGATCGCTCACTTTATTTGAGTCACGTAAATAAGCATGTTAAGCACAGAGAAACCTGCTGTAAATAGTTACAGTTTACATAATTCGGTCCGACTGACGAATATTCCATTGAATATGGCACATCGAGATGAGTGAGAACGGCTAATATGTTAGATATTACTAAAGCACCACAAATGAGCAATACACTCATAAGGAGAATTAAGATCACCTTGTTGCATCTTATCTAAAACCACGATATCCCTGTGGTGCCATCGATAAAGCGTTGCACACTAAGCAGCCGTGAACAATGCAATGAGTATTCGCATGGATTACCACCAGATACGGTCCGATTATGGTACATATTTCAGTTCGGGGGCTATTCACGTTTCTACGATTTGGCCGCCCAGTACTAGTCAACCTGATTTGTGAAGCACCTCATGTGTTTGTAATGGTTGTAGTAAATTCGTTGTATTAAAATGCCTGAACCAGAGGTTAGAGAACGGTCCAACAAATCGACGATTTCATGGAGCCAGAACAGTGACAGCATAGACCAATGTCTAATCCATCACGATGGTGACGCAGAAATACACTTTTACCTGCTTTCCAAGATATGACTAAAGCAGATGTTTTGGTGGTTAAATTAGTTTATGCACCAGTTATCACAAGAACACCACTGGGTTTGAGCAGTCAAAAGCACTAATAGGTCAGCTTACTTTGATGATTTGTTCGAAAGTGTCGAGTGGATGCGTTGACTTCTTCTCTGCATCGTACGTTTTGCATAAATCCCTTACACCGGCACAGTTGACAAGAATATCCAACCTGGAAAAGAGTTTCTTAGCGAGACCGATGGATTTCGCAGCATCTGTTTCGGAGGTCACCTACAGTATAACGATCAGTACTACAAGCACAATACGTCGGTGTTTTGATATACGCAACGCGCCTCGATTGCTTCAAAGTCTTCATGCTTCTTTATGTCGCAAACCATGACGTTGCATCCAGAATCCAGCAGTCTGCAATTGAAGTGTATTATCCGTGTGTCGATGATTACCGTTTGGTGGTAGCAAGTCCTAATCCCGACGCCCCACCCGTGACGATTGCTGAGAGTCCTTTTCCACTGTACGGGAAAGTGCAGGCAACTGCAAAACCTACTTGAGGTTCGTCAGCGTGCTGTCAGTAGTAGTCATGTGTCTCTGATAATAAGCGCGCACTGCTTACACAGATGAATATTGGGTATTTATAATACCCAGCAGTCATGTTAAAAAGTTGAATACCGTCTATGTGGTAGGGCACATTGGCTGTGAATATCAAACTCGGTCGCGTAAGTGTGGTGTGTGTGTGACAGACGGCTTTGTGGACAACATGTCATTGGTCGCCAACACTTCTGGCCTCCGCGTCACCTCGACCGTCCAGGTCCAATGATAGACTAAATTTTGAATTGAAAATTAGATGTTCTCGTCTGCAGACGGAAAAAAAGTTGATGATGTGTACACAAGTGGTGAAACAATTTGTGCAAAGCAACAAAATACTTTGTCTTATGCCCTCCTAACTTCGATATAATGGTGAAATCGAGTGACTGGTGGTATACGTATGTGCATGCGTCTACCAGAATAGTCTATTAAGTTGCTAATTGTGGTTAACTTCGTCAAGATCCTAGCATTTGCGACATGTTTAAATAAATAAGTGAATATTAACATCTGGAACTTGGCGCGCATTAATAGATAGCCAATTTATTACCTAAGCTTATTTAACGAATAATAATGTCGGCATATCTATATGTTTTATTCGATATATATTTTTATAATTGTCAGCTTAAGTGACTGGCTGTTGTTGGACATGCCCGGTGTGGTTACGCTTAATGTGCATGTTGACAAGGTGTCTCCCTGCGTAACTCCCTTCACCTAGATTATTCGACCCAGGAGACTATGAATCGTTGCTGGGCGGGGTCGGGGTGTACGGTTCTCATGGTCGCGCTGGTCTCGAAGAGTGGTTCCATGCACTCAAATTGCAGCGGGCTACTGTCCAGCCACCGCCTTGTGTACACTTGATTCCCTAAATACAGCAAGCATGTGTTTGTCTGTAAAGGAATATCAGCAGACTATATTGATGAAACATGGCTCCCATCCGCATGAAGCCCGGTCTTATTCTTTCGGGTTTACACTGGATATGGGTTGTGTGGATAGAGCTGTGGATGTTGCAACGCAAGCCACCCATGGTCCCTGTGTGGGCGCAGGCGTCCTGTGGCTGTGGTCACAGTGATATGAAAATCCGAAACCGGTTGCCGCCAGCCATACTAGTGACGCGTGCGCGTAGCACGAGTTGGTTGTACGTGTGAGGGGAATGTATATCACCTTCCGCCTACTCATGCGGAGCTTTGATTCCATATCTATCGGGTGGCCGGGTATTTCGGTCTGTCTTGTCCAGCGTCGTGATGTTCGTAGGTTCGCCTGATCCGCTTGTTTGCAACGTGTAAATAGCCTAGTCGCCTTGACCGTGCGGCAACCTTGCGGCTGAATAATGCCAGGTCCCAGACGCGCGTTATCCTTATGGGCTCCGACAATGTGGGCTGACATTTTGACCCTGGGTTTTCTTTGGTACCTACGAATGCTCCCGGTTGGAGCGGAGTGATATACTTGCGATAGACTGCTTGATGTCGCTGACGAACTTCTAACTCGTTGCTGTTGCTATTTACGATAGTAGGGAGTGCGTCATTTAACTTTGTCCATAGAGGACGACTAAACATAAGACCCTCCGGTATTGTCCATTGCTTGATTGTGTGTGGTTCTGTAGAAATGAGCTCTTGTAAGATTGCATCTTTATAAACTATAGCATGCTGTTCGCGTCTGGATTATACGCAGCAGTACATGAGGGTCAGCTGGCCTAAATCTGTAAAAGTGAGTGAAACTCCGCTTCTAAACTACGGACCTTTGCCTATCACCGTCACCTCTTGTAATCCGAAAAGATAAAATATATATTTCAATCATCTGATAATACTCACGGCCGTCAATTCTCTGCATGAGCGAACTTCCAACTAGTTACTGTACATACACGTCGAAACAAAACACATTTTTAAAGTTGAGTAGGTCCATGACGTTAACAGGTAGCTTGATGCATGGTCACAAACAATAGCTGATATGCTGTTCACCAGAGCTAACCGGTCTTGAGCACTTGTCTGCTCTTTGGCATGAACAGTGTTCATAAATCGGTTCCCGCTTGCACTTGATATCTTTTTCTCTCGAGACATGCATCCACCTTCTACTTTGTACGAACAACTCCAGGGTGGTCTTCCTGAGCACACAGCATGATCTTTCGCACTAAGTTCTGAGCAGCCATGAATCTGCAGCCACACATTACACATGCATCTATTAACGACAGTTTGAGACGCAACACTTAGTACGGACGATATACGCCTGCTAGTTTGTTTTTATGAGGCCAGCGGTTTAGTGAACCCTTTGGACGCTACGGAATGTGACATCTTCCTCAGTCTCATTGTGGAGTTCCCACCTCGTGAAAGCGGATAGATCTCAGCTATTAAAGAAAGACAATAGTAATCGATCATGGACATTTTCATTGTTTTCTGTTTCGTTGAGAGGCAATCGGGAGAGACCATCTGCTACTTCATTTTAACGCCCTGGAATTACGTTGATTTGCAAATCCTATGTTAGTAATTGTGGGCATCAGCGATGTATTCATTTCCGTTTAGTGTTATTTGTTCCCGAGTAAGTAAACCTGTTAAAGCTGTTTGGTCTGTACGATAACAACATTACCTTTCACTTTCCCAATGCCCCAAAGCAAGCGAGCCATTCCTTTTCCCGGTAGAGTAAGAAAGCTCAGCTGCAGTCGCTTTTCTGGAGACATAGGCGATACCAGTTTCCTGCCCCTTCTGAATTAGGAATAGGATAACACAAAATCTAATGCTTGAGGTCTCAGTGGATACAGTCGCTATGGCTAGGATGAAGGCAATGCGTCATTTGATCTTCACAAATAACGTTTGCTAAGTTTGACCCCTAAACAAATACATCTTAGTCAGTTCTCGCAGTGGCTCAGCAATATTTGTGAAGTCCTATAGCTAACGTAGTTTGTAGGAACACATATTCAGGAAATGCTTTATCTCCATAGACTTCTTTTGAGGCTCAGCTTGGATGATGGTTGGCGTGTTTCAACACTAGGCTTGATGCCGTCATTTGTAATAATGGGTCCAAAAACTCGATGGTGCTGTTATTCACTTGGTACTTCTCGGGTTTTACGCAAAGACGAACACGTTTAATCGACGTAAAACCGCTTGCATTCGTGAAGTAGGCTCTTCCAACGTCCTATCGAAGTGGTATCATTTTAGTTAGGCTAACTGAGTGTATAAATTAGTAAGTGATTGCACGATACTCGTTTGCCAAGTAGTGTGGACTACGCTCAAGCCCATTGACACAAAATTATACTAGAAAAGTCCATCCACTGAAAGAAATGCAGTTATCAGTGCTGTGTTAGAGACATGTGAAAGAAAGCCTGATTCCAGCCCACTTTGGTAAAACGGGTACACCTTGGTTTGACTGATAGTACATCCGCCGTAGCAATTACAAATTACTTGACCAACTTATGCCGATTGACTGTGCGTAGGTAGTTGCATATTCGCACTGTACTATCCCTCTTGTGGGCTGTAACCATGGGATATACAAATTCAGAACAGTTGATCAGTTCAATAAGCTTATCCGCAATCATTTGCAGTAACGCAGACGAAATGGCATATCTTCTGGCCAAAGGAAGGACACGTGGCTGAAGTGATTCGCTCTACTGTTTTTCACACAGTTTCAGGTAGTAACTTTGTAGGGTGGATAGGTTGACTGTCAGACATGCATAGAAGATAGCGACAGCGTAACTATCAGCGCAAGCATATCATTTCGTCTAACTAAGGGACGGTTATTTCTACGGTTGATGTAATTAAACGAATCCTGTAAGATCACCAACTTGCGCAATTACCAAAACAAATCCTCATGTTTTCACAGGAGACTTTGTATAACTTTTTACGCTATTAGTCCCAGCAGCTCACAAGCTATATATCACAACCACCAATGAGGGGAAAGCCCCAGACGCGTTTCTCCCTATTGGGGCTTGTCAGTGGTGCATATCCCACTGTCCCCTACTGGGGAGCGAACACCTCACAGCTAGAGGCTGATGCCAACTAGCCAACAGCTTAAACCACTGAACCATGGGGGACGGTGTTTGAGCCACATAATTTGCAAGCTGATTTAGACGGCGTAACTCTTAGCGCAGCCATAGCATTTCGTCCAACTAAATGACGGTTATTTCCACAGGTAAACTAAATAACAACTAATGCTTTAGGGACCTCAAATTACGCAATGACCATAACAAAACCTCCTGTTCCAACAGCGGACTTTGTATAACTGTTAACTTGATAGACTGAAGGTTGCAGTGTTATAACATGTTGAGGGCTGTCGAAAAACTGTTTGGTACTATCGAAATAATAGACGCACAGTCATCCTCCATGTCAACGTGTGATACTCAGCCGTGTATTCCAAATGCTACCGTACGAATGTTGGGCAGTAGTAGTTTAGGATCCACACAATGTGGAGGATGATAATAAATATTACTATATTATCGTAGAAAATACAGTGTACTATGCGAGCTAGTTCTTATGCGAATCGGTAGGATGTAAATGAAAAATGATTCCTGTATGACAACAAAGGACAAACTACCCTCGTCTTAACACACTATTGCGCTCAAATTCTTTCGTAAGGCAGTTGACAAAATTGGCCTTATGCTGTTGTTTGCCACAGGGAAACCTTTTCCGTGTACTATGGGGTTTGGTTGGCCAACGATGGATATTGACAACCTCTTGTATTCCTTTTTGTGCAGCAAAACATCGGAATTGTTCTTCAGCTATTTCATAAGCTGACGATTTCCATCGCTTTGTCTCAACTCAGTTCCGCCGCATCTTCGGAGAGCAGAAATTTGCGAATCCGACTGTTTGTTATTCTACATATCTGCTGTTAATGAAGCGTGGCTCCCTACATGTTGCTTTTTCTCTATCGTAGAATACTCTCGCGAGAATCCACCGCGAATGACACGATTAACGAACAATTACTTAGGCAAGTCGGCCAAATTTGGGTCAAGATGTGAAAAGATTTGTATGCTGTCCCCAGCATTTATTCAACCTATGGATGCCACAGCAAATGGTAGAGGCGTTGGTTGTATGGTTTCCAGTT